TCCATCACTCCTCGTGCCGCAACGTGACGAACGTGCATTTGGTGTTTGAAAGCAAAGGTGGAAGATTCTTGATCGGATGCATGGTTATAGCATGCGTACACAAACTGTTGTGGTTGTGGCTACGATGGGAATACACAATTTCCATCGTAGAAATGGGCGTCTGAATGAGGGGTTTCGTAGAGCCGAGGAAGTGGATGACGAAGAAGCTGAAATAGAGCCACCGAACGAGGACGATGAAATGGCTGCCGAGAGAGATGCAATAGCCGAGGAAAATGTGCCGTGGAAAGCGTTACGCGATTATATGGCACAGGCTCTACGTTAGTACTTTTTGCGTGTATTAATTTGATATTTCTGTACGTAGTTTGCTAAATCAAGTCGTCATCGCTCAACACTTCACTTTCTTTTCTCGTGTCTGAGCATTTAAAATATGCTTCAATACGTCCGATGATGTCAGTCGAATGAAAATCGGCGTGTCTACTTGACGGTGAAATAATTTGTTGGTCGGAAAATTACATGATTTTTTTTCCGCATTTCGGGAGTCGTTTTTTACCGGCACTATACAAGCTGATTTGTTGGTTGCAAAAAATGGCATGTCTTTTTTTTATTGCTCGAGTTACGTGTGGTCTTTTATTAATGTACAAACGCATGATTGCAAAAATAATGAATAAACAATTTAGGTGGTGGGAGTTGGTAACCAATTGCACGTGCGTGGAATGGCTCAACAAGTGGAAGGGCAGAATTGGAATGTTACACAAAACAAGATTTGACCACAAAAATCTCTTGCATGTGTATTAATAATTTATCGGGAAAGCCATGCATGATTCTGACACATTTTGTAGGTTATTTTCGAAATTTTATGGGAAAAAATAGAATAGAATGCAAAGGAATGGGAGCCAAACAAGCACATTTTATAAAGTTCTCTCCTTTCAAAGGAGAGAAATTTCTCCATATTTCTATTCGATTTAAAATTCTATTTAATTCTTTTTTTGTTATGATAAAATTTATTTTTTTTCAATTTAATTAAATAATATTTATATATTCTTTATTTAATTCTCGTAACTTTTTTTGTTTAATTTGTTTTGTTTTTATTCTATTTTTTTAAACAATATTTTAAAATTTCTTTTTTCTTCATATTATAAATAATTTGTTGTTTGATTTAAAATTCTTTTCGTTTTATCATAAAACGTAATTTTTAAAATTTTAATTAAATAAAATTGATTTTTAATTTTAATTATTTCAATTTAATTAAAAACTTTATAACAACATTTTTTTTTTGTCTGCAATTCTTTTTTTCCTTTAATTTGTTAAATCATTTAGTTTTTTTATTAGTATTGGTGTAAAATGATAATGACAATTTGGTTCGCTTCATTTTTGAGAAAATTGCGGTAGATGTTCCAAATCTTTAAAACATTAGCAAGTTTTCCTCAAACCTTTAATTTGTTGCAATTGTCACCCCAAGCCTTTCGAAACATTGCGACGGAGGCTCTTTTGGTCGGTTTTCATCCAAATGTCTATTAGCTGACTAAGAATTTTGACTTTCACCATATTTTTAATATTTTTGAAAAGGTAAAATAGTAACTTTCTATTTATTACATTAAAATAAGTTAGAAATTAAATTAGAAAAAAAATGAAAAAAAGCCAATCGTCTTCCTCCTCTTACCCCACCCCCACTCCCACCTCAAACCCAAAATCAGTCACCGCCACCATCACCTCGACCTCCATCCCCAGCCATAAAAACCCAAATCACAATGTAAACCATAATTTCGACCTAGTAGCATTGTGATGGTTACTCATTATGTAATTTAAAATAAATTGACAAAATCAATTACCAATTATTAACTCTTCCGTGGGATAGCTATTAGTTTCCGAAAATGGAAGCCAACGGTTTCATGATGAAGATGGTTGTCTCCATCACAAACCATACCCACTTTCCCAACCCTCGCGTTGAAAATCCAGTCATTGCCATCATCACCCAACATTGATACAATCGTCGGCACTACTACCACCACCTCATCACCACGGTTCTTTTCACCTTCTTCCTTCTTTCCCAGATCCTCATCTTCCAAATATCCATTCCCATTTTCAAGAGTCTTGGAAACTGCATTATTTATTTTCTTAGCAAACACAATACCCTCACCTGGTTGTAATACATTTACACCGATTAATTTGAATGCAGAATTGGGATAATATCCCGAGCCAGGTTCAGCAGTATCGCCCCAATATTCCAGTGGCCCCAAATTGAGATCAAGATTCTTGGAAAGCAGAGGTATCATTAGCCGTTAAAGCGATGGGAGGCTTGTTACAGTGAATTGAAATTGATATGGTGGGAGAATTGAAATTGAAAAGGGGCACGATTTGGAAGAATTGAAATTGAAGATGGTTTATATTTGCTTCGGTTTAGGTTTTTATGGCTAGGGATGGAGGTGGAGGTGACGGTAACTAATTTTAGGTAGGGGTGAGAGGAAGAAGACAATTGGCCTTTTTTTTTTTTTTTTAATTTCTTATTTTTTTCTAGTTTAATTTCTAACTTATTTTAATGTTTTTACCCTTTCAAAAATATTGAAAATATGGTCAAAGTCAAAATTCTTTGTCAACTAACAGATATTTGGATGAAAACTGTCCAAAGGGTCTTCGTCACAACATTTCGAAAGATTGGGGTGACGGTTGAAACAAATTAAAGATTACTAAAAAGCATACTAATGTAAAGGTTTGAAGCCTCTGCTGCAATTTTCCCTTAATTTTTTGAGATTATGCTTTATTCCATTATCTATTGTTCAATGTTCTAACATTTAAATATTTACAAGATAGAATAACATCTAGATGCAGAGTTGAGAAGAAAATCCTTAATATTGGAATTCTCAATTTTAGTCATTATCTTGTTTTTTCTATTTCTAAAGAAAAAAAAAATTATTTCAAACATTAAGGTAAGGAGTGAATACAACATATATTGATCAAGATTTAATAATTTAATTATTATTAATTAAATAATTAATACTTTTCTAGAATTATATATAAGATATATTCAATCATTTGTCATATCAATGGAATAAAACGGTGTCGTTTTGCCAAATCAACGTAGGAAAACGATATCGTTTTGTATTTTAAATGCATGTAAAAAAGGATTAAAAATGGAAAATAATACAACAAAAAAGTTATTATAAATTTTTTTATTAAATTGAAATAATTAAAATTAAAAATAAATATAATTTAGTTAAAATTGAAAAAATATTTTATCATAAAACGAAAAGAATTAAAAAAAATTAAATCGAAAAAAATTTATTTATAATATGAAGATAAAAGAAATTTTAAAACAATCAAAACAAATTAAACAAAAAAAAGTTATGAAAACTAAATAAAGAATATATAAATATTATTTAATTAAAATTGATAAAAATTAAGTTTTATCATAAAGAGAAAAGAATGAAAAAGAATTTTAAATAAAAAATATATTTTTAATATTAACAAAACAAATTAAAAAAAAATAAATGAGGAAAAAGACAAAAAAGAAAAACGAAAAAATAGAATCTCCAATTTCTCACCATCCACATAGAGAAATTTCTCCATATTTCTCTTCGATTTAAAATTTTGTTTAATTCTTTTTTTGTTATGATAAAATTTAATTTTTTCAGTTTTAACTAAATAATATTTATATATTCTTTATTTAATTCTCGTAACTTTCCTTTGTTTAATTTGTTTTATTTTTATTATATTTTTTAAAATTTCTCTTTTCTTCATATTATAAATAATTTTTTGTTCAATTTAAAATTCTTTTCATTTTATGATAAAACGTAATTTTTAAAATTTTAATTAAATAAGATTTATTTTAAATTTTGATTATTTCAATTTAATAAAAAAACTTTATAATAATTTTTTTTTTTGCCTACAATTCTTTTTTTATTTTTGTTCTTTAATTTGTTAAATAATTTATTATTATTATTATTATTATTATTATTATTATTAGTGTAAAATGATAGTGTTACAATTTGGTTCGCTTAATTTTTTAAGGTTATGCTTTATTTCATTATCTCTTATTCAGCCCTCATTTGATTTCCATTCTTTGATCACAAAAAATAAAAAATATAACGGTTATCCATCACATTAAGCCATCATATTTGACTTTTTATTTTTTGTGTGGGTCCCGTAACGACTATATTTTTCCTTATCATTCTTACAAAAATGGATACCAAACGGGTTCTGACATTTGAATTCTTACGGGGATGAATATCATCTAGATACAGAGTTGAGAAGGATAGGATTCTTCATTTTAATCATTATCTTATTTTTTTCTATTTTTGGAAAAAAATTTCATCTCAAACATTAAAATAAGGAGTAAATATAACATACATTGTTCAAGATTTAATTACTATTAATTAAATAATTAATATTTTTCTATAATTATATATAAATTATATTCAATTATTTATCATATTAATATAATAAAACGATGTCGTTTTGCAATTCAACATAGGGAAACGATATCGTTTTGTACTGCAAATGTAGGTAAAAAGGGATAAAAAAGGAAATATGGAAAATAAAACAAAAAAAAAAGTTGTTATAAAGTTTTTTTATTAATTGAAATAATTAAAATTAAAATTAAAAATTATTTAATTAAAGTTGAAAAAAATATACGTTTTATCATAAAAGAAAAGAATGAAAAAGAAGTTTAAATCCAACCAAAAATTATTTATAATATGAAGAACAAAAAGAATTTTTAAAACAATTTTCAAAAAATATATAATAAAAACAAAATAAATTAAACAAAAGAAAGTTACGAAAATTAAATAAAGAACATATAAAATATTATTCAAAATTTAAAAAAAAATAAGTTTTATCATAACGAGAAGAATTAAAAGAATTTTAAATTGAAAAAATATATATATATTTATAAGATGAACAAAACAAATTAAAATAAATAAACAAATGAGGAAAAAACATAAAAAGAAAACATAAAAGAAATCTCCGTGCATTCTGGGATGATGAAATGAACCAAACTATCGGACTTCACCAAAAACTTCGAATTTTCAACAAGTTTTGGAAAATTTACAATTTTAACGCTAATAAAAATACAAAACTCGTGCAACGCACGTGACAAAGGCTAGTATAAGAAAACACAGACAAAATAACAGCAAAAAAAACTAGCTATAATTGGTGCTGGTGCTTAACCAATTCATAAATTTAAATCAATTTTCAGAAATCTTCCCTGGAATATTTACTCCACTTCGTTGAGCCGAAGTAGGAAAAATAACCTCAAACTTGACAGCGTTGTATGCGCAGGTATTCTTATATGAGAAGAAACCACCTTCAATGCCATTTTGCTTGTGTAGAGAGAGTTAAAATGGCGATCTGATAAGGGAGTTTACTTTTTAGAGTCACAAGTAAATAACCTATTTGACATGCTAGTGCTCCGTCAGTCAACTGCAAAGGTGTTATAGCAGAAATGAACTCATTACATACCCTAACTGTTATATCTTCGTACATAGAAAGCACTGCCTCCACATTTTTGTTATGAGTGACTAAACGCAGTTTTACCTGAAAATGAAAATTCATTATAGGAACCTTGCTCAAACACTTGACAATATACACATTTTAGAAACAGTCACACAAGAAAAGGCTGAGACATGGGCTGACTAATTAAAAAGGATGTTAAGTCAACTAAGCAAAGTCACTTTGCAAGATATAGACTTAAAATGAATCATGCCTTTTCTTCGGTGTCATCAAAGCGCTGAGTAAGCCCCGCAGCAATTTCTTCAGTTTCACGGGGAGGATAGATGATATTTTTTCCCTGTAACAGGATCTAATCTGCGGCCAACAACTCTCTCAACAAGGATGTCTTCAGGGACCTGTAGTCTGTAGAAACCAAACAGTTTGTTATACTCGCACTTTATGACTACTAACTCAATCAAGATGAAGCCAACAAATTGTTAAAAAGTATTGACAATTTCTTGACCATGTGACCAGAAAAAACAAATATTAATTAGATAAAGATCATACTTTCTTAATATCATAAACTTTTAAATTAATATTAATTAGATAATCTTTAAATAAGGATAGCAACAGCAGAACCTCACTTCAAGAAGAATGAAAACGTGTGGCTTGAAGCCAAATCCTTTAAGAGCAGTCGCTTGTGAAGAACTCCTTGGATATCCATCCAAAAGCCAGCCTTTTTCTTGAGAATCTGGTTGTAATAAACGTTCCTTAACCATCTACAACCATAGAAAGATGCTAATTCTTTTTCATTTATCTAGATAATATTATTGATTGTTTGAAAAGTACATTTTACAAAGAAACAACAAATTTATGAATAGAAAGCTACCGTGACAAATATTTCATCTGGGACTACTGCCCTTTCTCCATGTATTCCTTTGCTAGCCTCCCATTTTCCGTCCCAGCAGCAAATTCGGCCCTGAGAAGATCTCCAGCCGCAATGTGCACCAGATCATACCGCACATTGTAAAATGACATAATTCAATTGTCTTGTCTTCTATGTTTCATCATGAAATAGCAAGTAGCAAAACCAGACACTGGGCACGCGTGAAATTATGCCACAAAAAGTGAAAATAAAGAAATAACCTTTTGAACCAAGCCAGGGCACAAAAAACTTCAAAATTAAAAATAATATAGAAACCAAAACATCAGAAACATAACTTAAAAAAAGGCCGTTACTGCAACCATAAATGTTTTCTTTTGTAAAGTTGAAATGTCTGCACTATTCAATTAGATTCCTACTCGTCCAGTGTTGAATCAGTTTCAAAATTTATACTTGACATAACATACTTTATTGCTAAAATCCTTCACAAGCTCATTACTTCACAAAAATCCCTGGCATTTTTCTATGCCAGATAAGGGTGGGCGCGGGTCGGTTCGGTTCGTTTCTGAAGAGAATCGAACCGAACCAAAATTTTCGGGTATCTAATAAATGGAACCGTCGGGTTCAAATATAATTATGGAACCGTTCGGGTTCGATTCCGTTCGGTTCTGTGCTATAATTAAATTTTTTAACATTTATAACAATATTATATAAATACAACTAATGATACATTCAATGGTTTTGGAATGTCAGAGACTAATAGATTACCTTGTTCAAATGATCGCTACGGTCAAAGTTTCGGTCGGCGGAGGTCACAGCTTCGATCTGAGGTCACAGTGTCGGCCGACGATTATATAGGTTTTGGAATATTAGCGAGGTTGCGAGAATCGAGACAACGTTATGCACTTTAGTGTATGTGTTTAGGGTTATTTAGTGGATTGAATCTTGTTAGGCTAAGAAATGAAACAATAAAATGGGTAATTGGGCCAAAAATTAAAAAATTAGAAATGAAACAAATTATTGGGCCAAAAATTTGGATTTAAAAATTGTTAATTTGTTTAGAAAAAATTAAAACTAAAATAATTTGATTTACTCAATATAAAAAAAATTAGAAAGATTCGGTTCTTATTCGGTTCTTGGTCTAGAACCGAGAACCGAACCGTACCCGTCGGTTCTCAATTTAGATACCCGTTCGGGTGTTTAATTTGACAAGAACCGTCGGGTTCGGTTCAGTTCGGTTTGGTTGGTTCGATTCGGGAGATTTGCCCAACCCTAATGCCAGACACCAACCTTCTGTTGCGCTACCTTTCAGAAAATGTATATTGGTTTCTTCACAATCAAATGTCATAATCAACATTTCAGCTCAAGCCAATTGTTTATAGGGCTAAGATTAATGTATTGTATTTTGTTTTCTTTCTAAAGGTAAACTAGACAATTACCGATCACTTTTTTATAGTTAAGTAACCATCTTTAAACATTGGTCCAACGAAAAAGGAAAAAAGATCAACCATTACATTTGAAAATTTATTCAATCTAAACATCTGTTAGTACCAAATCAAATCTGTTGGCTTGAATGTATAAATCCAATTATGTTGTCACACTTTTTGCAACATACAAGGAACACTTTGAGATGCATTTCTGCAGAGTTTTCACACAACTGGCTATTGAACTCTCTGTGGAAAGTTGGCATGTATCAAATTCTTCGATAACGGTCCCTTATACAATTCCCCCATGCCCTTTCACAAAAGTTGTGTCTTTTGGGACGCGTCTCTTTGAATGGCTGCGACTCTTGGAAAATAACTCCATTTAAATGATGCAATTTGAAAGAATATGAAACTTACATAATGAAAAACATTCTCCTTTAAAGTCCCTAAATGCATCATCCTGGTACTTTAATCAATTCATTTAAATCAATCAGCCTATGTAAGTAGCTCAAATAATACCCACACGTCAACTACCATTAAAACACAAGCAAAATCCTATATCAACAGCACTAAAATTAGCAAAAAGTAAATAACAATATGCAAATTAACAGAAAAAAAAAAAAAAAAAATTCCACCTTCTTAGTGATGATCTCGCATTGGGTTCCTTTACCGGAAACTAGAGCTCCCGAAATCACTACCTTCAAAGGCTCTGCGTTTATCCCGCGGACAACACAACCTATTTTAATTTGTCCAAAATATCAAAAATTAACCACAGCCTATAACAGATTCACCATGAAATTTTCATTTCAAACTCAGTAAACCCACAAATATAAACACTCACAAATGAATTTGGAGCATTCTTTGATTTATGTAACTGGGTTCGGGATAATTTTGAATTAAAATTTATAGAGGAAAAGGGGAATTGGGAAAAGGATGAAGATAATTTTGAAGCGAGGAGAGTAGAGGAAGTTAAGGGCTTGTTTGGATTGGAGGATACTGCCATGAAATTCACTGAACACCAACTGCTACAAGCCATTTTGCCGTGAATCAACTCTCACTCAACATTCAACATACATAAAGAACTGTATACATATTTTTTTATGCAAACAAAGAATAAAATTTTGTGTATTTTCGATTAAATTAAGGTGGAGACGTGTCCACGTTGACCGCGAGGGGTATAATAACAAGAGCCAGACCCCGACCCGGGCATGTGATTTGGGTGCGAGCATGTTTGGATTTTGGCTAATAGTAAACAATGTTAATATGCTTCAAGAACCCAGAAAACCGGGGGGGGGAACCTTTTTGATTTGTTTTATCTTCAAAACTCATTGAAAAGGTCCTTGCAAGAGAAATCATAGAGAAATGATTAAACCTTGGAGTGAGTTTGATTCTCTTTCACTACAGAAGTGAGGAGTTATGTCTCAAAATAAAAAAAATTACTCTTTCTCGATGTTATTTGATTAAAACTTCTTGGAACTGAATCAAGTCGAGTCATTTTGCCATCATCAAGTTGATTTTGTTTTACTAGAGAATCAAGTGATAATGAACTGTGTACATCCATGCTAAAAATTGTACATCCATGCCACAAAAATGAACTGTGTTATACACCCATTCCTGGGACAAGAATAGAAAGACATGTTCTTGTAACTCCATTGATACTAAAATTAGAAGATGATCAGAAAAGACAGTATTCATCATAAAATGCTGTAATTGATCAAATAAAGCAAATTAAAAGACAAAAGTTAACAAAGTATCTAGAAGTTTTTTAACCAGTCTAAACTTTTTTTAACACAATTATTCACAGAATATTTAAACCCAAGACAAATATCACCATTTATGATATAAGGCAGTTCATGAAAATCACACCTACATTTACAAAATGATTTGTAGAAGACAGTGCCTAGAGCAACAACTCACAACATCAAAGATGTCTGTATATACATACAATAACAAACTAAACAGCATTCTCGACAAATATTGAGTCAACTATGCATGAATGTTTGGATAAAGTCATAAAACTAGACAATAACTAACACATCTTTTTTCTACATCTTTCTTTTACCCTTTGCTGTGGAGATCATATCACTGATAGCGAACTTTTTCACCTTTTTGCAGGAATCTTCCACGAGACAAGGCTATTCACATGAGGGAAGTAGCAGCCATTGAAGGGGAAACATCCCCTTTTCAACTCAACCTTCCTCATAATTTGCAAAGCACAATCATAGGCATATAGATCATAATCCTTTTTCTTGAAAATTATTTCACCATTAATTCTTGAACAGTAAAGAGGAACCATATTCTTAGTGCAATCCATTCTTATGGAATAGAGCTTTTCCCAAACTTCACAGCCCAAACCTGTTAAAATCCACACATCAATTCGATTCATGTCTTCATGATGAGTCACGAAACCAAGGAATCCACTCATTGCAATGATGCGATCATGAATTTCTCCACTCTTTGGGAGCGGTATCTTCTTGAACTTCTCGTTGTCCACTTGTAATGACACTATGTAGTCATTATGATTAATAAGTGGAAGCCAATGTAGAGCTCCTATTGCAAAAACAGGTTCATACCCGAGCCAACCAAAAAGTCCAAAAGAAGGTCCATCCATAACTCTCCAAGATCTACTCCCAATGTTAATAATCTCACAACCAATGTACTGTGACTCATCCTGAAACAAGTGCACCACTTTATAATTGCTCGAACAATGGCAATAAACTAACCCATATGATTCATGATGAGGAGAAGACTGAGTTCCCAAAGGAATTCTCAACAGATCCTGAGTCACGGGATTCATGACAACTAAGCCCTCTTTCTTCATCCGGTTGTCGAGCAGGATTAAGCCATTGCAAGTTGCTCTGATTTTGCCTATGCAAGTCTCGTTGTATTCCTTTATGGTGCACTTGCCATCTTTAATTTCCATAAACTTAATGTAAAATAAAGATGAAGGGTCTATGCAGGGCCAATGACATATAGGCACAGATTGCATATGCAAAAGCTTAGATTCAACGGAGAAAGTGTTTGGTTTGACGAGAGGGTCCAATATTTTAAAATCACTGGAGAATGGACGGCCCTTCAAAACTGGAGCTAAAAAAACTAACACAGTGTCGGATCCTTGAAGATGGGCATCAATGAAAACAAGACTATTAACAATCTCATACCATGCCTTACAAACAAACCTCAACTTCTGGAGAGATTCAAGCGGAAGTAGAACAAGAATTTTAGAGATGCAGTCTTTTGGAAGATAAGGTATAATAACCAGACTTTCCTGCTGCTTTTTTCTCTCATGTTCCACCTCCCTTTGTATTCTTTCTTCCACCAACTTAAGCAAGCTGGCACCTTTTCCATCCACTGATTTGGTATTCATGACCTCTATATCAGACCAAAGAAAATTAGAAAGTTAAACTTTGATGCACGTGCTTATGAAGATAACTTCGAAAGGGTAAAGATGTTCAAAAATCAAAATTTAGCTAATAGTTCAAGTTCATGGATGTTTTGCATGAGTAGAACAACCAAAGGAATCATCAAGTAGTATGTTGAAGAAGCAAATAACAATACTCTATATGTTACCAGCTAAAACTTTGTATTGTGAACTACTAACAAGATCATTGTATAATGTTAGTTTATGCATCATGGATTACCTAAATTAACCTATTGAAATGAGTTGGAGGGAGTGGTTTGATTCGAATTTAAAGCCTCAACCTGTCTCAACCCTATCCTATAATATATTGAAGAAGAAATTATGACTGAGAATAAGTGATTTGCATAAAAGATGCCCCAAAATTGAAAACGGCTTATAACATCTTTCAGTTTCAAAATTTCACAAAACTAGGCATTTGGATTGTGGGCAATAAACTACTCCTATTGTTGTGATTCGAATCATAGTATCGTTGCTCCCATATTTTCAGCCCATTAAAACGTGTTATGAAAATGAGACTTTATAAGTGACATTCTGCCTGATGATGACACCTGACTCTATTCCTACCGTTGGATGAAGGGTTACATTCTTCTGGTGATATATAAGGGACTTGACGCTTCGTTTGGCAGGGTGACTATTCATTTTGTCTGGCCTTTTCGAGTGAGGTTCGAGAGAGTTCTTCTATTCTCTCGAGTTAGGGTTTTCTATTTCCCTATTTTCTTGTAATCAATCGTCTCATTCGATGTGTATTTTGAAGGCTGTTAACCACTGAATACTTGTATATTCTTGAGTGATACTTAGAGTCCTCATGTGTTGAGGTTAGGAAATTGGTCTGTTGATTTGTTGTGGGTCTGAGGCAGATCTGTGGTTCTTTTGAAGAGATAAGTCTCTTTTCTGTGTATTCTTGTAGTGGTTGAACTCTGTAACCTTCGATTGCCTATTTTTGGAGCTTTAGTGCAACCGAGCAATATTCACTTTCGATTGGATGCTCAATAGGGGATTAGGTGCTTAGTCACTGAACCTCTGGGGCTTCGGCCGAAAAATCTTGTTGTGTTCTTTACCTTCTGCAAGTTTAATTTCTGTTATTTTGATCGATTGAATCTTGCAACTTATTGTGTGGGTTTTTGGCCCCCTTTCAGTGGTATCAGAGCATTGAACTGGGGCAAGATACCTGGATCTTTGAAGGAGGGAATCGATCTGCTGCAGATCTGAAATTTTTGGAACTGCTATTAAGGAGTATTGAAGGACCTTGAGTATTTTATCTCGTTGGGTGAGATCTTTTAATTTTGTAAAGTTTACTTTCGAAATTTGTGTGTTTCGATTTTTTTCCCTTGATTAACCATACACCAACTACCCACTAATGTCTGGTCTTTGTCCAAAGGCTCCTACGAGGTCTTGGAAATCTGAGAAAAACCCAGTTTGAGGGTGTATTTGGGGAATCTTGAAGGAGAAATTTCAGAAACCTAAAATTTCTGCCCTCTGTTATTGCGTCCTTAATTTGATCTGCTTATTATATATTTGTGTTAAACTTGCTTGTGTTGTGTCTTCTTGAACAATACTGTGAATTTGTGTTGACACTATTCTGTGTCCAATGTATGCTGTGTTGTGATCTTTTAGACTCGAACTTGTACATTCTGTGTGGCGTAAGAAAATGGCTGCTGCTAAATTTGAAGTTGCACAATTTGATGGAAAAATTGATTACAATATGTGGAGTCAAAAGATGAAAGCTATACTAATGCAAATGAGATGTATTAGGGCTTTAGATGATATTTGGCCTCAAGATATGAGGCCTACTAGGAAGGCTGAATTAGAAGAGGTAGCTTGGAGTACTATCTTCTTGTACCAGCATCGGTGAAACTAAGACAACTTCTGAATTGTGGACTAAACTTGAAAAACAGTATGTGATAAAGACCATCCCAAACAAATGTTATCCATTAAAACAACTCTTTTCTTTTAAGATGGACCCTTTCACTAATTTGGATGATAACTTGAATAGGTTTACAAAATTGACCCAAGATTAGACCAACTATGATGAAAAACTTTCACAAGATCAGTTGGCTGTGATCTTGTTGAACTCCATTAGTGATAAATATAAAGACATTAAGGTTGCCTTGAAATATGGTAAGGATGAATTGACTATAGAAATAATAATTAATGCCCTAAAGAATAAGGCCCTAGAAATCAAATTTGAGACCAAAGAAAGTCATAATGGGGATACCTTATTGGCTAAAGGAAAAGGTTTTAGTAAATCTAACTATCATTCAAAAGCTTTATTCGAAAATGAGAAAAATTAGGGTAATAAGGGTAAGTCTAAGAACGAGGCCAAAGGTAAGAAATGTTTCTATGGTGGAAAACAGGGACACTTTATCAAAAGCTGTTATAAAAAGAAAAATGAGTTATAGAAAAGGAAACATGAAGTTGGAGATGCTGCCTTAGTATATAACAAAGACAAAATTGAAGATGGCTTGGACCTTGTTAATGGGGACAAGAGACTGAGTAATGAATAGATTGATTCAGGCGGTTCATTTCATATGTGCCCTAATAAGAATAGTTTCTTGAAATTGAAAAAACTAATGGTGGGCAAATTATAATGGGCAATAATATGACCTGTAAAGTGAATAAAATAGGTACTATTAAATTGTTACTTCATAATGGGAAGGTCCTGTTTTTAAAAGGAACCAGATATGTTCCTGAACTAGAAAGGAATCTAGTGTCTCTAGAAATGTTGGATAATATGGAATTTAGCATAAAATTGGGTCATGGACATATTGAAATTCTTAGGGGCAATGATCTAGTCATAAGCACCCCTAAGAGACATGGACTTTACTTTCTTAAAGCTAAACCCTTACTTGGCTTGACTGCTACTGCTTTGATTAAAAATTTTTCTCTTGCAAAATTATGACGTGAAAGACTTAACCACATTGGCAAGAAAAATTTAAAAGCTCTAGAAAACAAATGAATTTTTGGTAAACAAAATTTTGGTGATGTTGATCATTGTGAACAATGTGTGATTGGTAAACAGGTTAAGCTTCCTTTTATGCCTGGAATTCATAAAACTAAACAAATTCTCGAATACTTACATGCTGATTTATGGGGACCTGCATCTGTGTGTACTCTTTCAGGTTTTAAATATTATCTTTTGATCATTGATAATTTTTCAAGAAAAATCTGGGTTTTCTTATTGAAATCTAAAGATGAGACTTTTTCAGTCTTTAGGGGCTGGAAAACACATATAGAAAATCAAACCTATCATAAGATAAAAATATTAAGAACAGATAATGGTATGGAGTTTTGTAATCATAAGTTCAATAACTTCTGTAAAGAACATGGTATATTAAGACATCTCACTATCACCTATACACCTCGACAAAATGGCATAGCTAAAAGGATGAACAAAACCTTACTAAATAAAGTTAGATACATGTTATTAAGTTCTGGTTTGTCAAAAATATTTTAGGGTGAAGTTGTAAAAACAGCTGCATACTTAGTTAATAGAACACCCACTTCTGCCCTAAACTTTGAGGTACCTGAATTTGTGTGGACTAAAAATTCTGTTGATTATTCAAACTTAAAAACCTTTGGATGTGCTGCTTATGCACACTAAAATATTGAAAAATTAGAACCTAGATCATTTAAATGTGTTTTCTTAAGTTATGCTGAAAATGTGAAGGGATATAGATTGTGGGTTAAAAGTGAGAAAGGGTATAGGGTGATTGTTAGGAGAGGTGTTGTCTTTAATGAATCCCTTATACCATGCCTAGAAGGAAAACAGAATTTAAATACTGATGATGTCCAAATTAAGGTGGAGCCTCCTAAGATTGAAGGAGAAACCCCTGTACCTGTTGTACCAGAAATGATTAATGCTGAAAATGAAACTGAAAATAATCTGCATGATGACACTAATGACCAGATTGAAAACCCTATCTATCCCATTAAAGAATATCAATTAACTAGAGATAAGGAAAGAAGGCAGACTAGACCACCTGTAAGATATGATTCTGATGATTTTGTTTCATTATTTACCTATCAAGAACAAATTGAAAATGAGCCTAACACTTATGATGATGCCATAAATTGCAAAGATTCTAAGTATTGGATAACAACTGTGGAAGATTGAATGAATTCACTTCTTAAAAATAAAACCTGAAAATCAGTTGAGAAGCCAAAAAGGTCAAAAGCTTATAGACTGTAAATAGATTTATAAGATAAAAGATGGGGAGGGAGGAAATAATAGTGTAAGGTATAAGGCTAGATTAGCTGCAAAGGGATTTACACAAAAAGAAGGTGAAGATTACACTGAAATATTTTCTCTTATAGCTAAATACACTACAATCAGATGTTTAATTGCTTTAGTTGCTCAATTTGGATGGGAACTTGACCAGTTAGATGTTAAGATTGCCTTCCTTTATGGTGATTTGGAAGAAAATTTATATGAAACAACCGGTTGGGTTTGTGAAAGGAAATTCAGAAAATGTTGTGTGCCTGTTAAAGAACTCTCTATACGGCCTAAAATAGGCTCCTAAACAGTGGTACAAAAGATTTGATTCTTTTGTATTGAAACTTGGTTTTCAAAGGAGCAACTATGATACATGTTTGTACTGTAGAGGTAAAGGAGGTAAACGTTCTCTTTATCTTGTACTTTATGTGGATGACATGTTGCTTGCAAGTTGTGATAAATTTGAAATTAAGCAACAACTTAAATCTGAATTTGAGATGAAAGATCTTGGAAATGCTAAAAAGATTCTTGACATGCAAATTTATAAAGATAAAGAGAAAAATATGTTATTTCTGAATCAGTATGATTATGTGATAAAAATTTTGAAAAAATTCAACATGTTTGACAGTAAATCTGTGTCTCTGCCTTTTGCAAATCATTTTAAGCTTACCTCTGATCTCTGTCCCAAAACTTTTGAAGAATATGATAAAATGTCAAAAGTACCTTATGCAAATGTTATTGGTTCTGTGATGTACTTGATGGTATGTACTAGACCTGATTTTACTTTTAGTATTAGCATATTGAGTAGGTTTATGAGTAACCTTGAGGAAGAATATTGGAATGCTTTAAAATGGCTCTTGAGGTACTTGAAAGGTACTGCAAACTTGGGTCTTGTGTTTAAAATGAACAAAGAAGGGGTAACTTTAAAGGGATTTGCTGATTCTAACTTTGCTAGAAATAAGGATAATAGAAAATCAACTTCATCTTATTTCTTCACCTTATGTGGAACAATAGTCAGTTGGAAATCACAACTACAAAAAATTGTAGCCTTATCCTCAACTGAAGCAGAATACATTGTTGCTTCTGATGCTTTTAAAGAAGGAGTATGGCTAAGTGAATTACTTAAGGAACTTGGATTTGTTGATGAAAATGCAACGCTATATTCTAATAATCAAAGTGCTATATATCTTAGTAAAAACCCCATGTATCATGATGGGATTAAACACATAGACATTAAGTATCATTTTATGAGAGACATTATTTCAAAAAGTGTTTTGAAAATTGGTAAAGTACCTACACAGTATAACTCATCTGATATGGGAATAAAGATAATACCTTTGAACAAATTTAAAAACTGATTGAAGACATTATCTATTGATTCTATGAGATAGATTGCAAGTACTTGGAACAAATGAAAGGAGAAAGTGATATTACCTCCTAGCTGCACTGAACCTGAAAATATGGTAGCAAGGTGGAGATTGTTGTAATTCGAACCATAGTATTGTTGCTCCCATATTTTCAGCCCATTAAAACGTGTTATGAAAATGAGACTTTATAAGTGACATTCTGCCTGATGATGACACCTGGCTCTATTCCTACCGTTGGATGAAGGGTTACATTTTTCTGGTGATATATAAGGGACTTGATGCTTCGTTTGGCAGGGTGACTATTCATTTTGTCTGACTTTTCGAGTGAGGTTTGAGAGAGTTCTTCTGTTATCTTGAGTTAGGGTTTTCTGTTTCCCTATTTTTCTTGTAATCAATCGTCTCATTCGATGTGTATTTTGAAGGCTGTTAACCACTGAATACTTGTATATTCTTGAGTGATACTTAGAGTCCTCATGTGTTGAGGTTAGGGAATTGGTCTGTTGATTCGTTGTGGGTCTGAGGCAAATCTGTGGTTCCTTTGAAGAGATAAGTCTCTTTTCTGTGTATTCTTGTAGTGGTTGAACTCTGTAACCTTCGATTGCCTATTTTTGAGGCTTTAGTGCAACGGAGCAATATTCACTTTCGATTGGATGCTCAACAGGGAATTAGGTGCTTAGTCACTAAATCTCTGGGGTTTCGGCCGAAAAATCTTGTTGTGTTCCTTACTTTCTGCAAGTTTAATTTCTGTTATTTTGATCAATTGAATCTTGCAACTTATTGTGTGGGTTTTTTGCCCCATTTCACCAATGGCGATTGAGTTCTTGCACATTGGAGCTGAAAAAGTACAAGTGATTTGACTACAACAAGGTCTTGGGAATCCCTAATATTAAATACGGTTTAAGAAAACCCAAAAAAATAATAATAATAATATTAATATTAATAATAATTTGCATGCTACATATTATTCCATATAGAAACTACATAAACATAATGCATTTTTTCCTTCTTCATCTACACTTAAGAGATGATCATCTCAAATAAATCAATTTAAAAAAACGGCACAAATAAATTTCTCAAAAACCAAATACTGCTTGGAGCCCATATTTTGGCTACAGCTACATAAACATACCAATTTGGGTAATCCAGACAACAAGGTCAAATATTGTTGTGAAGCTCAATTCCATTATTAATATACCTCTGAAAAAATTCAACGTGGAGTTTAGGTCAATTTTTCATTTCTCTTATATTCAATTTTAATCTCAAGATAGTTGGTCAAAAGTTTCTACTCCACTCCATAATTCTCACTCACTTTTCCCTTAAAAAAACTGCACGTGGGCGCACAAAATTTTCAATAACTGGAAACAGAAGAGCACGACGGAGGAGAAAATTCAAGCAGTAAGGCGTGAAGCGAAAAACCCCAAAAGCATAAGAAACAAAGAACGTGAATTACCTCTCTACAATTCGTTTGATCCCAGCGCGAAGAAGCTTTTTATGCGAGTATAAATATAGCGAATTCCAAGGCATCCGTTGTTGCCTTGTTGGAGCAGACAAGATTTATCTCAGCAATTGATTGTTCTTATGCGAGTGTTTTGTGGTTTTGTGCAAACGGCAATCGGTATTTTAACTTGGTGCGACTCGAGTTCATCGGAGGTCATTTTCAGTTGACTGACTTCGCATTTTCAAGTGGAAAAGAAAAAAAAGGAAAAAATGTATAATAAATTAGTCATCAAAAATATTTTCTTAAAATTTATTAATTACTGAAAATTTTATGGGATTTACAAATGGTTCCTGAGTTGAAACATTCGTTTTTAATTTTGATGTGTGGACAAAAGGACATTATTTTATTGCTACATATTCAAAGGTTGAACCTCAATTTCAAGGGTCTCCACTAACTCGTCCCTAGAATTTTGTGAGGGGGGTAAATTGCAGGATGTGCCACATCAGGTCAGGAAATAAAAGCTGTCTATACACTACACTTACAAGGAGTCTAATTTCATGTTTTAAGAATCAAACCCCCACACTGCGACTGCCGGCAATGTATGAGATAATATCACTTCTATCATTTACACCACTGGACTATGCCCCGAGAGTATACTCATAAGTTATCATAATTGATCAATATTTTGACTCGTTTATTTTAGTCACTTCTTATTTGTAAAAGCTTAACCTCCAATGTCGATTTTCCACAATCTTCAAATTAGGGTTCTAAATGTCAGTTAAAATATAGAATCTTGATGAACCGGAGGAATTTTCAAGATGCCATCGAGGGATGAGATGCTTCATGACATCTACATAGCTGGAAACTAATCCAAACCAGAAATTCTTGGGTTGCATTGACTTTTAAAATTAAACTCTTTTTTTTTTTTTTTTTTTTTTTTTGGGACTCAGCTGAAATTGGGTTCACTTTTCTGATTTTATCTCATTTCAAATCTTGAACATGAGTTACAAAATTGAAAGCGTTATATATCCAATGCAAAAATAACAAAAAGGGTATAAAATGACAATAATCACAAAACTACAAATGGTCCATAGAACCAACCGTATTAAAATAACAACAAAAACAAACATATAATGGCATAACAACAGAAGCTATTAGTATTGGAGTCACCTAACTTTGGCTCGTCATGAGAAAGTTTTGCTTGTTCAATACAAGTGTTCTCATCCAAGTTAATATTATCTTCACCCACAAAACATTTAAAAATAAAAAAAATTCTATTATCATTTAAATATCATATAGAACCATGTTTTAAAATATAAATAAAGTTGAAAAGCTTATAATACACAGATCCCGACATTTTGTTAATCCCAATCCCTCTTTATGTTCATCTTCATAGAACTTCTGTGATATTGGTTGCAAATTGCAATGCACAAAGAAAATGTCGTCAATCCTACTTCTTGTCAATTATTTATCTTGATACTTTGATTAGGCAAATAAAATACTCTAATTACTCTCAAACAAGATGAAAATATAGGGCACAAAAGCAATTTGAAGGAGAAACTTGCGATAAGAAGAACCATGATTAGCCCACCAAAAATTGTTTCTTCTAACATTTTTGACTTGATAAACATGTACCTGGTTGAAACACCAAGATCCTTATATGGCATACTCTCCACAAACCATTTGGGTTTTGAAACAATCTGTTGAAGCATTTGCTTCTATTCGTGGAAACTTCATCCTCACTTGGTGCTATTCTTTGAACTCAATTTCCGTTTTGAAGTCAACCGTTAGAATAGTATTTAGGAACCAAAAAAGCGTGTCATATAATGTAAAGAAAAAAAAAATGTTACTTTATTTAATCTACTCTACAAAATTTGAGAAACAACAAGAGTTATTGTTGAAATGTTTGATCGTAATTATTCTCTCCATTGTTCATAGTTCTATAGTTGTGAACATCATGTTTGGGTGGACTTATAAGCTAACTTATAAGATGAAGAGAGAAATATACTTTTTTCTTGTGAGAGTAATGTTGTACGTAGTCTATGATAGATAGGAGAAGTATAACCTAACAAGTTGCTATTGCCTTCATGAATATTATCTGATGTAGGGAGATTTCCTATTCATCATTTTGCTATAGTAGTTGCAAAAAACATGTAGAAAGGTAACACGATTATAAGCCTTCCAAGTTCCAAGAAATTGGTTCATCGAACACTCTTGCATAACACGAGGATAGTACTTGAAACACTCATATCCACTAGTTGTATGTAGTGCATGAGAGATAGGATATAACAAGTTGTTGATGTTCTTCATTATTCTCTCTCAAACAGAGAGATATTGAAAAATTGATTCGTAATGCATTAACATTATGATATTTATTTATTATTTTTATTTTTATTTTTTTACAAAAATTTCAAAGAGAAAGCATTGAAGGACAACTAGTTCTAGTTATATTAATGATTTTAGACGTTGAATAGAAACAACTGAAAATTTTGGACAACGATGGATATGATTGGTTTTTTTTGTAAAAAAAAAATGGACCTTTCAATGGAGTAATCTCATTTCTCTCTGTCCCCAAATATGATATGCTCATGAAACTTGTGTGAATACTTCAACATGTCAAATTTTTTGGAATGCTAAAGATAGATTAGTACTATTTATGATTGAATTATTCGATTTTCGTATTTTATTCATCTGCTATATTTTAGCTAACAATAAGTATAGGGTTTCTCAAGATGATTTTTTGAATTGGCCTCAAAACCATTGGGCTAAAACTTAACTAATAGTAAAAGTCTCCTCCTTGATAAATAGTCCTTTTTCCTTTTTTGCTTTTTTTTTTTTTTATGACGGGAAACCTGCAGTCATTACCCTTTCGATATGCACTAGGTAAACTCTCAAACTGATATAATAGCTTACAAACCACACAATTCAGATAAATCGCACCAGACAAGCTCAGTGCGACAAGCTCGACCGAAAAGGTGTTGGTGGGGGAAATCGAATTCTTGATAAATAGTCTTTTTTTTTGATAATTCAAGTGTCCAAATTTCGTCTAACCAATTCTGAGAAATGACAGCCTTCAATAATATTTTGTTTGAACAGTGGTCGAGCACTGAGAGAGGCTAGATTTGACTAGTCGCAAGTTAAAGTTCCATTCAACTTCCAAGAACAATGCCCTGCATACAAGACACTGTTCTATAGGGGGGCTTACAGGCCCCCTCACTGTTGATTAAAAAAAAAAAAAATTGTGCGAGTCTGCTCTTGTATCTGTCCTTGCCGACCTCTATAAATGACTCCCCTATACGCGAAGAACGGTCCAACTTCCAATTACTAGTGTCGGATCTTAAATTGTTCATTACTATCTCGGTCTTGGCCCTGGCTAAACGGGCTAGGTTATAATCCAGACCCGCCTCATTGACCTTCGCTAGAGTGCATCCCTGATGTTGTACCGTAAAACTACCTCCTCCTTGTCACTCTCTACAATCGTCGAATCATTATTACACAGAAATTTTAGTATAATCAGGAAAGCATCATCGTATAATATTCTTGTTCCGACGCATTGTCAGCAGCAACGCCACTGCTTTTCTTCTCCAGGTACTGTGACCCCCCATTTCGAACAACTCTATTTTCTTCGTTTTGCTCCTTTTTGTTCATAGTTCAATTAAGATGCACTGTATTTTTGTCAAATGTTTGTCTTTTTTTTTTTTCTTTGGATAGTTTAAGCTAAGTGTTGAAAATTATGATCATGGGATTGTAGATATTCTGTTCGTGAAAATGCGAGGATTAATTGGTTAATTTTGAATTATTTTAGTGAGTAAAGATGGCCCTTAAAGCTAAAATTGAATTGAACAAATGGGCGAGCCTTATTTTTTTCAAGTGTATGATTTTTGGCAGCATTTAGTTTTCAAAAAGTAGGTTTTTGCGCTAAAAATCCACCTAAATATCTTGAGCCTGTTTGTGAGTGCTTTTGAGAATTGATTTTTTTGACTGTTAGGAGAAAATTGGGGTCCATTTGTGAAAGAAGAATTCATATTTGACGGCTGGAATAGTGAAATAATGAATAAAAAATCAATTTTTTGAGGGAAATAATGACTCCCGAACAGGCTCCTTCTTCGATCGCTGAGACATGTTTGGGAAAAGGGCTAATTTACTTTTTGTTTAGGATTAGCAAAGCATGCTCAAAGTAATAAAGAGCAAATACATGTAGAAATGAACAGTTTCACGTGTATGGATGTGGATGTAAATTAGGAGTGCACATGCATACTTCTATACATGCGGATTTTGTTGGGTTGTGTGTGTGTCCATATAATATATTTTGTTGTGATAAAATAATCATTTATAATAAATAAATTGTGGTTTTATTGCATTATTTATTATTGAGCATACAAATTAAAGTGCCTATGAGTACTTGAAATTATATAAGTTGGATACTTGCATTGAGAAGTACACTTTGACACAATTCATATTTTGGTCATAAATAATTTGTTCACAATCAATGTACAAGTGTTGGCATCGTGTACTAGAAGGTTGTAGTGTTGATTGATTCACTATTTAGGTTTATGATTTGTCCTTATCACAGAAATAGTTAAAGATGACCCTGGTACACTTGGAGTGTATTGAACGGACCGCGTGTTGAATTTAATTATATAGCATGAATATGCAGAGAATTAAATTCCACTAGACCGCTGTGTATTTCATCTAAATTCTTGGACAAGATTATGCATATTTTTTCGTGATTTTAATGATTTTTTTATTCATCAATGGGTGAGATCAATTTGATTGGTCAAATATCTCGATGAGTTGGGAAGTTTAGAATGAGCGGAGTAGAAAATATGAATTCATGTCGGAAATCGTCGACCTGAAAAATGAGTAGAGTGACTACTTGAATATTTTCTGTTGAACAGTTAAAATCTGAGCTCAATGTTTAGCGATGGCTAAACTTCGACATTTGTGATTAGTTCACAGGACCGTTGAAGAAAATGAAACTTAAATTAGTGAGAATAATTAGAGAAGTAAAACGGTCATTAGTGTTCGTATCTAATTATCGGATCTCGGATAGGAATAAAATACATATACAGCAGGTCAGAAGAAAGTATTAAATATTTATTGACTTTTGTGATCTTATATATCTCGAGAGTTCTATCTTTTGCCTTTAGTGGAAGAAACAAAGACTGGGTGGTCTAAAGTCGACTAAACATGATCTGATTATTGGAGTTTGGATAATATATGTCCGATCAGGTCCTTATGGTAACTTCATGAAGTATTGGAACTTAATTATGGTAATTATAATAGTTTCGGGCTTAATTGTAATTACAATAAAGCTTTGTACTTAGTTGTAATTACTACGAAAGTTGTAAACTTATTTATAATTGTAATTAACGTTATAGGATTGCACATGTAATTAAATGTAAACTAATTGGATTTTGATTTTGATTTTAATTAGAATTGCTATTTAAATGTGTAATTATTATTGTATAAGGATTGAAACTCTTCTATCTCTATAAATAGAGATTAGATGGATCCTAGACATCATATGAAATGGAATTATACAACATTCATAATATATAATTTCATGGTGTTCAAATTTTGGAGAGAGAAGAAGAGAGAATTATTTTTCTTGATTTTTCAATTGTCCAGTTTAAGAATTGGTTTCTTGATTTAATTAAAAAAAGGTGCACACCCACCGATGTAGTCTTAATTTTGGAGAATACCGTAAAAGACTTGGAGGTTTAAAGTATCGAGTTCTTGGAATCCAAAATGTTGGAAGATCGTGATTTAGAATTAATTTAAGAATTTATCATCGAATTTAGGTAAAAATGCGAA